CTCCCAATGGTCCCCCAATTTCCCCCTTCGGGAGTGGGATCCCTTCCCCTCCCCCAGCCGCCCCTCAGGGGCGCCAGTCCCGTCCCGCCTCCACTTCTCCTCCCCCCTCACTCCCCCCAATGTCTTTATAATGTCCTGGAAATTCCATCCAGCATCCTGGTTGCTGGGAGTTCCTCCCGTCCCCTTAGGTGTCCGTGTTCCCCCACCGGTGCCTGCTAGGTGCCCTAGCTGTGCAGAGATGCGAATTCCACATCCTCATAGTATGCCATCTTGACTCCGCGCCCCCCCACAATCGCCTTTCTATGGTACCATTCCTGCCAAGTTTATAAGCCACCCAGAATGCTGGCAGCCATGGGATTCCTACTGGCATTTACTACCTCTTTCTATGCAAAGGTCAAGGGAAAAACACTTCTGGCTCCTTCTACTTTGTCTCTGCCTCTCCACCCTGCAATCACTTTTAGTTATTTGATAAGTAAAATTAAAGATTACCACAGTGCAAAGCAGCCTTCATGAAGGTTTACACAGGCACAGGATGTTATTCTAATAACCCCATCTCAGACTCCTTCCCAGTGACTTCCAGTTTGAAGCAGGTTGCCAAAGAACATTAAAGTAAAAATTAGCAGAGCACAGGACTGCTCCTCCTAGAGAGGCATTTCCTGGTGTTTCAACACTTAACTTATTTAGTAACAAACACCAGGACAGAGTCCTTAACTCTTCACCAATGTAGACCCCCTGTCCTAAGGATGACACTGAGAGCAGGGGCAGATGTGAGAAGGCTTACCCACCCCAAGGAAGTTTCAGAGGGAAATTATTACTCGAATGAAGATTTTTAAGCATCATTCGTCCTCCACACCCACACACAAAACCCTTGTCAGTTGCCAATGAGTCAAGGTGCTGCCTTACAGTTAACACAGAGATTTGAACTTGGGGTCCATGAACCTTCTGAAATTGTCTAAAAAGTTGCAAACCTACAATTTTTTAAAAAAGAATCCTGACTATGGCTTTTATCAGACTTTCAAAGGAGTACACGAGTTCTGCGAAAATAAGAATCACTGTCTTAACGCAACATACATTCCGGTGCGGAAGCTTCGGCAAATCATCTAAATTCGCTGAGTCTTAGTGATAGGCAGTGATGGTGGTCCCATCTTGAGCATCCATGGTCCAAAAGACCTGCTGAAGAATGCTGGAGAAATGCCTAATTGATTTGGAGTAATCTTTACGGTTTCCTACAGCTCTCAAACATTCTATGAGAGGTGATTCTTGGTATTTGATTTTTTTTTTTTGCTCCCGTCCCCTTAGGTGTCCGTGTTCCCCCACCGGTGCCTGCTAGGTGCCCTAGCTGTGCAGAGATGCGAATTCCACATCCTCATAGTATGCCATCTTGACTCCGCGCCCCCCCACAATCGCCTTTCTATGGTACCATTCCTGCCAAGTTTATAAGCCACCCAGAATGCTGGCAGCCATGGGATTCCTACTGGCATTTACTACCTCTTTCTATGCAAAGGTCAAGGGAAAAACACTTCTGGCTCCTTCTACTTTGTCTCTGCCTCTCCACCCTGCAATCACTTTTAGTTATTTGATAAGTAAAATTAAAGATTACCACAGTGCAAAGCAGCCTTCATGAAGGTTTACACAGGCACAGGATGTTATTCTAATAACCCCATCTCAGACTCCTTCCCAGTGACTTCCAGTTTGAAGCAGGTTGCCAAAGAACATTAAAGTAAAAATTAGCAGAGCACAGGACTGCTCCTCCTAGAGAGGCATTTCCTGGTGTTTCAACACTTAACTTATTTAGTAACAAACACCAGGACAGAGTCCTTAACTCTTCACCAATGTAGACCCCCTGTCCTAAGGATGACACTGAGAGCAGGGGCAGATGTGAGAAGGCTTACCCACCCCAAGGAAGTTTCAGAGGGAAATTATTACTCGAATGAAGATTTTTAAGCATCATTCGTCCTCCACACCCACACACAAAACCCTTGTCAGTTGCCAATGAGTCAAGGTGCTGCCTTACAGTTAACACAGAGATTTGAACTTGGGGTCCATGAACCTTCTGAAATTGTCTAAAAAGTTGCAAACCTACAATTTTTTAAAAAAGAATCCTGACTATGGCTTTTATCAGACTTTCAAAGGAGTACACGAGTTCTGCGAAAATAAGAATCACTGTCTTAACGCAACATACATTCCGGTGCGGAAGCTTCGGCAAATCATCTAAATTCGCTGAGTCTTAGTGATAGGCAGTGATGGTGGTCCCATCTTGAGCATCCATGGTCCAAAAGACCTGCTGAAGAATGCTGGAGAAATGCCTAATTGATTTGGAGTAATCTTTACGGTTTCCTACAGCTCTCAAACATTCTATGAGAGGTGATTCTTGGTATTTGATTTTTTTTTTTTGCGGTATGTGGGCCTCTCACTGTTGTGGCCTCTCCCTCTCCGGACACGCAGGCTCAGCGGCCATTGCTCACGGGCCCAGCCGCTCCGCGGCATGTGGGATCTTCCCGGACCGGGGCACGAACCCGCATCCCCTGCATCGGCAGGCAGACTCTCAACCACTGCGCCACCAGGGAAGCCCTTGGTATTTGATTTTTAAAAACAGAAAAGTATGGTCAGATTAAAGCAGGGGACACACAATGACTTGCATTTTCCTTTCTTAGATATTGTGTCTCGATCAGAAGCACTTAAGAGTCCTCTAAAACCTTAAAGTGTTCAAGACTAGCACTCTGTCTCTCTCTCTCTCTCTCTCTCTCTCTATTTTGTCTAAACCAAACCATACTGAAAAGTTTAAACAAACAAGTTAAAACATAAAACAGCTCTGTTGGGATAGTGGGAGGAGTTGGGAATGGAGGTAGGGAAATAGGAGCCTCACCTGGTCACTGTCCCAACACACTTCTTTGAGCTGGTCCCAAAGCCAGAGAAACCCCTAGAAATACTCTCTACAGGAAGAAAACCACTTTCTAAGGGCACAGGAAGAGCACCACTAGATTAAAAACACTGCGATCCTCCTCCAATCTACCTGAGAAGAAACGCAGTAGAGTTTCAAAGGCAAATATTGAGGTCCCCTTCGTCAGGCTACACTACTGTGCTCTACACCAGCAATAGTTTTGCTTCTGTACCTCCAAAAAGATTCTGAAAAACTAAATAACCTCTTGAACCTTTCTAAGTGGAGAGCTAAAATTTTTCAGCATAAGTTTTTAAATAAAAGATGGAATTTCCAGGACATTATAAAGATTGGCCTTTTACAGTAAATAAATATAACATCATTTCCTAGAATTTATCCAATGGAATAAAATACCATAGTGATCTGATAACACGTATCACTTAAAAAAACATAAACTAGTTTCTAATAACAGGGAATTTTATATTATTCATTTTCTCTTCTTTAATACCTATTTCTATTTCACTTCCTCTATAGAATTTAAATCTAATTCATTTTTAAGGTTAAAGTATTTTATTGATCACTATATCATACTTCTTTACACAAATAAAAACATAATTAAGTTGAAATGTAAAAGATGCAATTCTCTGAAACCATAAACCTCTGCTAAGTTTTTCACCTTTTTGACTGAGTTAGCATGACAGTTACTTTTAGTACACAATTAAGTAAAATAGCATAAACATACTACAAATTTTGATAAGTAATTTAAACTTCCCTATTTAAAATGCTGTTTAAACTTCCCTATTTAAAATGCATCTCTACATGAGAAGAGGGGCTTTTTCCCTATTCATGTAACCTTGTATGAATATTATTTATTGATACACTCAAACAAGTTCAGCATCAATTCTATTCCTAAATTTCATTTTTTGAGGATTTTTAAGCATTAAGGACTTTTATTCATATGACTAAGTAAATGGAAATGGGAGCTTATTATAGCAATGTCTCTCAATTCTTTGAATTCCTTCCAAGTTTCATGTCCCAAATTACATAGTGATGTATTATCAACATTTAGTCAATGGTCTAGCATCTGACAACTTAAGTGGGTCTTCATCAAAGCTGATGGAAAAGAGAGAAATGGAAACCACTGGACTTGAAACAGATTTGTTACACTATCATTTGAAGCATTCAAGTTGTCAAGATCTAAACCAATATTTTGGATGGTCTCTGTTTGGCACACCCACTGATGTTTTTTACATACAGAGGCAAGGCCTAATGATAAATAAGAGTCAAGTTATAAAAGGTATGATTTCTTTTATGAAATGGGAGGACACATTTGTAGGCAGATTGGTTTTAGGAAAGTGCACATGTTGGAGTTGAGAATCTGAACACAGATTTACTTAAATCCTCCTTGCCTGTGTACCCCTTGGGAAGCCAGGCTCATTCTGGTTTAAAGGTTTCTGCTGTAGAACCTGGCATGGTACTCTTTGGGTACTGAGTAGAAATATGGTACTAACAATAGCTGGTGATATAATACAATCCACAGAGAACTCCATGGGATTAAGTTTCCGCTAAGGGATTATCACCATACTTCCTGTGCAAATAAACAGCACCATAAATCATAACATTATAATACTCCCAGGGTTTGATAATAGGTCCTGCAGAGGCCAGTTGATCAGTGTCCTAGTTCATAAGAACACAAAATGTGCCTGCTTATTAAAGCCAATATTCAGAAACTCCTAGACGGAAAAGTGCCAGGCTTCTTATACAAAGATAACCCCACTATCTGGGAGACTTGCACTGATCTGTGTTGTATCCACCTCACTGTCTGGTCTGGCTGTAGTCAAAAGTGTATATGCACTGTGCACGTGCACACACACACTACCACCACCCACCCTCCCCATACAGCCTACATCATCCATCTCTGGAGCCCAGCTGTGGCAACTGAGAATTTCTATATGGGAAGGATTTGGGGTAGCAATCTGGCTGGAAGAGCAATAAAGCTTCAGCTGCAAAGCGAACGCACAATTTTTACGTTGGTGGTTATATTGGGGTAGCTCTGGATGAGTACAGATGCGGCAGCTAGGCTTGGTCATGTCACATATTCTATCATCGACAACAACGCAGCATGGATTTGAAAGCCTGGAGGTTTACAAAAGTAAGAAAGTAAAGTGGAAAAAGCTCTTGTTTCAAAGCCAGGCTCTGCTTCTGTCCTTTTGAATGTTACTTTAGACTCTTCAACCTTCAGTATTCTCATGTGTAACATGAGGGTGTTGGATGAACATTTACAGAACTTATTTGTCTAAAAACGCTTTAAAAATGTTAATAGATTTGATGAAATCCCAACAGAAGGGAGCTCATGAGAAATCATACTTGCTATGGATCCAAGGGGAATAAGTTTATTATTCATATATTAATAAAAATTAGATATGTATGTATATATACATGTATACATTAAGCATTGGATAATATTATAGATATATGCTGAAATGATAAAGCAAGAAAAGAAAACATAGATCAATAATACAAGACAGACAACATAGCACAGCACAATTAGTTGATGCTCTGTGCATCAAAGTATAGGTCAGACAACTGTATGGATCATGGAGTTTCTGTGTGACTTCTTAGTACTCTTGGGTATGGCATACCAGTTCTTAAAGGGAGATTATTGCATAAGAATAATGACAGTGTTTATTTACATAAATATTACAAAATATGTCAGAAAAGCAAATACTAGTGGCACAAAGTAGTTACTCAATAAATATTTGTTGAATGAATGAAGAAATGAATTTTGTCCTGAGCCTTGGTGCAGTGTCCAACTGGGGTAGGACTCAAGCAGAGCAGTGAGAAATAAGGAGGGGGCAGAGGGCTTGAGCCACCCCTAATGGAAACAGGCAGGATGGTAACTCAATACCATGATTATTAACTAGAATTTTTTGGCCACAGTGATTGCACATGGATACTAAAAGGAAGTTTTCTTTTCTTATTACAGGCCAGCTGCCTAAAAGCCATCTGGAACTGGAGATTTCAGAGAGTGGTCTTCAGAACCACCCAACTCTTCTGCTTCAGTGCCCTGATCTCTGGTAAAGTTTATGCTAACCCTTCACCTGGCCCTCAGTGATTAGGGTAACTTCTCCAAATGGGAGACGTTAAGGATGGTAGCCGGTTGTTATGAGGTATTAGAAAACAGTTCAAGCCCGGATTCCTGGAGGAAAAATGCACCCGACACCATCCTATTGGTAGAAAAGGCTTCAGGAAGAACGTACACATATATACCCAGGGCCAACTTATCCTTTAGACTCAATAGACACAGGCCCACGTTACTTTTAGGGACCCATAAAAATGCTTTAATTTCTTTAAAAATCATTTCCTTCTAGGCCCCCCAAAATGTTTTAGTGTATAATACTAATATGTTCATCTTTATACCAATGCAGTTAGAAAATACAGTTTTTAATATTTTATTATCGAGGAAGGGAACTCCAAAGGCAAAATTGCCTAGAGGCCATGCAAGCCAATATGCAGCCCTGGTGACATCAGAATAAAGTCTTCAGGCAAAAAAATGGCACAGAGGTGCCTGTGAGGGAGGCACAAACGGAAACGACCCTCTTGTGGGCAGCAGAGAAGGCGGCTGAATAGGAACAAGACTTTATAAACAGGAAATAGAGCCATTTCCAGGTTTGACTGCTTACATTGTACACCTCTTCACATGGGAACTGGCCTCTTCTGGCTGGGGTGAGCTCCCACCGGCTAGGATAACAATACCTCGCATCATAGTACCCTTTATACCTTTAAGGGGCACATTTGAGTCCACAAACATCTCTTTAAAAGGCCTGTTTTAAGCCCTGTTTTAACAAGTGAGTAAGCAGAGATGGAGGAAGTAATTTATCGAAGGGAAACAGCCCAGAGCAGTGGGATGAAGTGTTAAGATTGCAAACCGGGAGGTACAATGAGCCTCTGCCACAAACCTGTTGTGTTTCACCCAACAAGTATGGAGCGAATGCCTGTTAAGTGCCAGGCTCTGTGCTTGGTGTTAAGAATCCAGAGGTAAAAAGAGACCACCATCAGGATTCAAAATCTAGCACATGCGACCCATGTCATACAGACAGATGCTGCAATACCTGGCAGTAGGGGAGGTGGAGACAGAGAAGGGTGCAGTGGGAGTTGAATACCAAGCCCACCTGGAGAAGTCAGGAAAGTAGGGGAGGAAGGTTACCACGCCTAAGCGGGCAGGGCAGCCAGAAGAGCAGCGAGAGCACGTGCAAAGGCATGGAAGTGGGACTTAACGTTTTACTAAAAAAGTAAATATGGTGGGTGATGAGGCTGGACCAGCAGGTAGGTGCCAGATCATAAAGCATCTCACTTTCCCCGTGAAGAGGAAGCAGCTGGAGATATGAGGCAGCCATTGAGACATTTTACATGTCATTTACTTTGGGCTTGGGCAGATTATTCAATGTCTCCTCCATTTATAAAAGGAGAAGGTTAGATGACCTCTACGGTCCCTTCCAACTCTGGTATCTTATGATTCCAGCTCTTGAATACCAAGTATCCTCAGAAGAGGACATTTTCTTATTCCGACTTAATGTATACTTTCAAGTAAAAGATGGAAACCACTCTTTTTCCTTAAAACAACTAGATTAGACATAAAACGGTCATGTTTTTGGTATTTGTCTTCTAGTCAAACTCATCTGACTACACAGAGGTGTACTTATGCTCACAATCTCCTTCTCATTAGGGGTGCTAACCTGATCCACGCTTTCCTTTACTTAGAGCTAATTAATCAGAAAGAAGTGGCAGCATGGACCTATCACTACAGCAACAAATCATATTCATGGAATTATTCCCGGGCATTCTGCCAGAAGTACTACACGGATTTAGTAGCTATCCAGAATAAAAATGAGATTGCTTACCTCAATGAGGCCATACCTTACTACAGTTCTTACTACTGGATTGGGATCCGAAAGGTCAACAATCAATGGACCTGGGTGGGAACCAAAAAGACTCTCACCGAGGAGGCTGAGAACTGGGCTGACAACGAGCCCAACAACAAGAAGAACAACCAGGACTGCGTGGAGATCTACATCAAGAGTTCGTCAGCCCCTGGCAAGTGGAATGATGAGCCCTGCGGGAAAAAAAAGCGGGCACTGTGCTATACAGGTAGGGCCTTCTCTGCTCTGAAATCCGACTGTTTATAAAAAATGCCTTCCCTGGTTCGTTAATATAGCCCCTGAGTCAATAACATTGAGTCTCAAAGTCAGGGACATGAAAACAAAGAGTAAACTGTCAATCAAGCAGCATTATTGAGCACCTTGAAGAAGATAATAAGTTCAGGATTAGAGAAAACTGGCCCTTTGAAGCCAGAAGGAAATTTTAATATCATCTGGTCCACCCTTCTAATTTATAATTGATGAAATAGATGCTCAGGAGATTTGTCTCCTAAAATTTATGTCCAGAGCTTTTTTGTACCACTGTGCCCTAGAATAAGAGACTGTGTAAGTTGAGAGGGAACTTGGCCTTGCCTCTAGGAGATACAGTTGTAACTAATACCTATCGAACACCAGTATGTTCCAGGCATTACTATTAGTTCGTGTGTCATTAGTCTATTTAGTATTAGTTGCATTTGGTCCTCATGAGAACCTCATCAATCAGCTCCTTCTACTGCCCTCATTTTGCTGATGAGGGACAGGCTCAGAGCTATTCAAGAACCTACCCAAGATTCTAAGTTTCTTGATGATGGAGCCAGTTTCAAACTCATGTTTACTCCAAAGGTGGTATTTTTAGCCACATATGCAACCACACCCTTTGCTCAACATTCTCAGGAGGCAATCTGAGAACATGACTAAGGATGACAGTGCTTTACAGATTCCCTTCAACAGCAACATATCTCCAGGTCCATTGGCCTTTGGTAGGGGATGAGGGGTGAGGAAAGGGAAGAGGTAACTGAAGGTGAGATCCTGTGAGTATATTTGGTTCTCCACTCTCCAGATTCCAGAGTAAGCAGACCTGCGTGAAAGCTTGGTCTTCCTGTGGTCATGCGCCTTGTGCCAGAACTGATTCCATCTTTCTGATGCGGCTTTCCATCCAGAGGAGCTCACCTTGCCCTGGGTAGCATACAAACACTGTAGCTAGGGAGAGTATGGACTGCCCTGGGCAAGAGAGTCCTGAGTACTCTGAAGCTTCTTCAATAAATCATCTTACAGATGCCACACTCTGCTATATATGTTCTAAATTTGTTAGGTTATAAACACCTCCCCTCAGAAGCCCTCAACAATAATGGAACAGAATACAGAGTATAGAGCATTCCCTGTACTTTCTCCCTCTCCTCATACAGCCTCCTAGCTGAGAGGAAGCATATCCATACACGCATTGTCATGTCGTCAGATCTCATTTTACAAATAACTTATTATTATATTTAATAAATAAAATAATGACCTGTTCTTTATAGGCCAGGACGGACATTACGAGAGTGTTTGCTCATCCTACTGCTCTCTCAGTCAGCTCCCTACCCTTCCTGGGCTATGCCTCCCTACAACTGTCCTGACCAGATTATCTTGGCTGCCACGAGATGTTCCAATATTCCACTGCTTCCCCTCTCCACTCAAACTTCAGCCTCCATTTCTGCAAGACAGTCTTCCTCAATAAAGCTTGCAAGGAAGAAAAGAGATTGCAAATTACTGGCATGAATGATAATGAACAAGGCCACTCCTCTAGCCTGCAACAATGGCAGGCCTCACTAATTGGTACAATTTCACTGGAACTCCACCTCCACTAATACAATACTCTAGGCACTGATTGCCATTTTGCCATCCAAGATGTAAAGAATGTAGGGAACCATCAGTCCTCTGTGGGAGATAGATGAGAAATAGATAGGTACACTACACTGCAACCAAAAAACCAAGGTGGAATAATTCCCTAAATGTCAGGATTTCTTAGATCTCAGAACAAGGTGTCAAGGAAAAAAAAAAAAGGTTGATTCATTGAATCACCATTATGTTCTTTCCTGGAGATCCAAGAAATAGATAAGTTATTAACCTGCCTGGAAACCCTGAAATGGAATAGAATACAGAACATTGGCTGTTCTGAGACCCTGAGGAAGAGTTCTGAGACCCTGAGGAAGCTACAGTTAGAACAAAATTTTTATGCTCTGAGAGCATAGGGCAGGCAGGTATTACTATAAGGCACTGGTGGGTCAAGGTGAATAGGGTGGAAGACATGGACCGAACTTCTATTTAGGAACTCCTGTTGCTTCCTGCGTCTTCTCTTTACCTGGAACCCTTCCCAGTGGTTCAGTGCAGCTTCACCAAACTCACTGGCTGCCATCAGAACTTCCTGCTGTAGAACACTGCATGGCTTATAGAGCTACAGCATCTCAGGGTTAAGAGGGAATATAGAGACCAAATAGCACAACCCGCTATGTGACATATGGATTTCCTCTTGTGATAGACCCCAATGTAGACCAATGGTTGGCTGGGCTTAGGAAACACCACCAGAAAAGAGTCTGGCCACAGACCGTGCTCCCAGCTATGACCTCATCAATAAAAACACTCTCAGTGCTTTCATGGTATCAATTCTAATACTAATCTACCACCAAGGGCATAGTGCATACACCCTCAACATGTCTCTTACAGGAAAGAAACTCTGCTCCTTCTCTGTGCTGTCACCCAAGTGGCATAGACTTAGTGAGGAGGGCCTGGCAGGCCAGTCGTCTCTGTACCATCTAAATCTGGCATATTTAGACTTGTGACACAGCTCCCCATAAGGTCATTTGTCCTTGACCATGAGTAGGTCTTAAACATCTCATTCAGGTCCTCTTGCTCCTCCACCATGTGGTGTCGGGCATAGACTTAGAACAAAGATGGAAGAGCTTTGGCCCTGACAGTGGGCAGGTTGGGCTCAAAGAAGTAACTTGCCTGAGGTCACATAATATTAGGGAGTGGAGCGTGGATTCTGACTATGTATGCCACCCCTGGTTCCTAACCTCCATGCTGTGATATCTGTCATAGGAGTTTCCATAATAATACAACTCTATGAATGCTCTTAGTTAAAAGCCACAACTATTTTGTACCACACAGAGGAGTTTCACTGTCTACACGTGTATTGGTGGCTCTATTTGTCCCTCTGTGTCCGCACATGGCAACCCCTCTTCAGGCAACACTAAATGCAGCCTCAAATAGAAGCCAGGGAACGCTCCAGCAGCCTCCGACAGTGTCCTTCACAGGGAACAAGCTGGCTCTCCAGGGGATGCTGTGGTTTTTCTGTTGTCTGGCTAGATCAAGCTTACCCAAGTGGGACCAAGTCTGTGACTTGGAATAAGAGTCCAGCTTTTCTTCACACCTCCTGGGAATGCCCATGATTCCGACCCTTCTGTATCCATGCAGCCTCCTGCCAGGATATGTCCTGCAGCAAGCAAGGAGAGTGCATTGAGACCATCGGAAACTATACCTGCTCCTGTTACCCTGGATTCTACGGACCAGAATGTGAATATGGTGAGGCCACTATTTTGTTGATAGTACTGTGGTCATTGGTCTCGTGCTAGAGGCGATGCCAGGAAGAAAATCATGCTGGAGTTGCTCCAGTGAGTAAAGGCTATAGTCCTAGGGCCTCTCTCTACCATCTGTCAATCTGCCTCACTCAAGCTGTCAGAGACACACACTCTGGGTTAAAACACTTTATTCTTAGAGAGAGCATTTCCTCCCCAGATCTCAAAACGTAAAATGGAAATGAAAAGGCAGTAAAACAAAGAGAACTCTTTCAGGCTAATTTTGCTTGTTGGGAATAAAAACCAGTGAAAGAATGATTATTTCCCAAGATGCAACCAATACAAAGCTAACGATGAACAGGTTGGATTAGAAGTCCAGGGAGATTGGTTTAGGTGGGTCATACAAAAAGCTCAGCTTTTAGCAAACCTAACATTGTCTTTCCACCCGCAAAGAAAGAAATCAATATTTCGTCCCCACAGTCACAGAGTGTAGCGAATTTGACCTCCCTCAACACGTGCTCATGAACTGCAGTCACCCTCTGGGAAACTTCCCTTTCAACACACAGTGCAGCTTCCACTGCGCTGAAGGGTACACACTGAATGGACCCAGCGAGCTGGAATGTTTGGCTTCTGGAATCTGGACGAGTACGCCTCCACAGTGTGTAGGTATGTAGACCCAGTTCTTTCCATCTTCACTCACAACTAGAATTTCAGAGGCGAGAACAAGCTTCCCCCGTTTAAAAGACAAGGGAAATGACGGGTATCTACATTAGATGGGAAATTCTGCTGATGACTATTACTCGTCAACCAGAGTAACACTAATTTTATTTTTCATGATTTTGTATCTGTGGAGTGAGGTAGTCAGTTTAGCTCTTGATTCTCAGGCAAAAGCAATACAAAAGGGTCCTTCTCCCTTTGTTAATTGCAAAGTGAGCAGAGTACAATAATGATTTAGGGGTTGGGTATTATTAATTTGATAATTTTACCTTGCTTCTTTAAAAAACAAACAACAAAAGGATGCTTGGATCTTTCCAAACAGCTACTGAAAGTACCATTTAACCACCAAAGTTCATCACCTGCCTGACACTTTGGGAAGATGCAGACAGCTGTTGCAGCATCTCAAGGCTTCCAAGGTGCTAGGCATAATCTAAGGGCTCATGCCATTGTTCTGTGGTTGTTTTTAGCTGTCCAGTGCCCACCCCTGCAGTCTCCTGAGCAAGGAAGCATGACCTGTTTCCACTCTGCAAAAGCATTCCAGCACCAGTCCAGCTGCAGCTTCAGTTGCAAAGAGGGATTTGCATTAGTTGGGCCAAAGGTGATGCAGTGCACAGCCTCAGGCGTGTGGACAGCCCCAGCTCCAGTGTGTCAAGGTGAGTTTCAGGCAGTTGGGGATGTATAATGTCCACGGCACCTGGTTCTTGATGGGAGCACAGATGAAACTGGCTAGCTTACGGAGAAACTGGCCTGAATCACCACAACTTGACTCTCCTTTTACCTACCACTCAGCTAGATTGTGTTCATTTGGGATAGGAAAAGAGTGTCAGGCTCTAGAAAAAAAAAAAGAGGCTGATTTTACTACTTATTTTAAACAAAATTTAAAAGTCCTCCTTTCCCCAAAACTCACTGCCCTCAAGCAATTTCAGAACGACCTCATTCATAAATTTCACGTAAGAGGGAAAGGATAGCATCTACATCTGTAAGTAGACACTAGAAGACGTACCAGGACAGGTTTATAGCAGTAAAGGGAATAAAGGACATTAGAAAAAGCTTGAAGGAGTCTTTTATTTTAAAGAGATTTAGGTCCCCCTGAAGCCTGGTACTACATACAAGTCTGGACAAACATCACTAGGGTCTCCTGAACCTTACAGATTCCTAGCGCCACCTGGAATTTCAGAGGTGGATTCACCATTGCTCTCTAGCTGTGGGCATGGTTTTTCTCCTTCCTTAGTACCTTTCTCTCTGTCCTTGGTTGTTCTCTCCAGCTACACAGTGTCAGCTCCCGGAAGCCCCTAGCAAAGGAACCCTGGACTGTGTCCATCCCCTCACTGCCTTTGCAATGGCTCCAGCTACAAATTTGAATGTGAACCTGACCATCGAGTGAGGGGCTGGGACACACTCTGCTGCACTGGCCCTGGCTGGGGGACTGCACCCTTGCCAACCTTCGAGGGTAGGATTTTTCATTAGCAGCCCCCAATGCACCAGGAAGGAGTCACAGCACAGTGGAAAGATCAAGGGCTCTTAACATTAGGATGACCTCCTCCAGGTTCTGGCACTGAAACAGGTTGTTCAGCGTCCGGGAGGCATGGTTTTCTCCTCCATGAAATGAGCTACGGATTGCAAGGAGCTTCAGTGAGGATGAAGTATATAAAAAGTATACAATTAAATAGCTCGTATAATGTACCTCGCAGAGAGCCTTTGTTTCTGCCTCTTTTTTCCCTCCCTGCCTCATTGGTGTAGAGAAGCTGTGGGTCAGTGTCCTTCCTATACTTCAGATGGAGTCAGAAGAGTGGCTGTTAGGACACAGAGAGAGATTGCTCATCATAGCCCTCAGTGGTAGCCTTTGACAAAGGATCAAAGGAACACTGCATTGAAAAAGAGGTTGTGACACAATTCTAGGCAGTTAGCTAATACCACAAAACTGAATTCTGTGTAATTGCCTCACACCTTCATCTTATGAAGCAAAAATGGGGACTAGGATATGGGGGAAATTAAATGTTGGATTAGGGAATTCCCGGGAGACCTGGATTATAAACCCAGCTCTACTACTGTCTACATATAAGACCTTAGGGATGTCACTTAAAATTTCTGAGCCTCACTTTTCTCATCTGAGAGAAACACTAGAGGGTCTTTGGTTCTTAAATGCCCTGACTCTGTAAAAAACAGAGGTCTAAGGTCACAGTGTACAGGTAGTCTTTATACTCTGATAAACTCCAGGAGTATCCTGGAGATGAAATGCTTTGTCAAGGAAAAGCAGGAGGAAGCCAGTCTTTATCAGAACTGAGGTCCCTCGGGGCTTAATTGTGCTCAGGAACTGACCTTGGGCTGCACTCACTTGGCAATTGAAGTCTGATTAAGATGACATCCTGTGTTCAAGAGACAAGGCTCTTTCAGGATCATTTTATAGGGCTCGGTATTAGAGTGCCAGCAATAAGGTATGTTGTTCCAGCTTTTTCCTTAAAAGTCCAGTCTGTTCTATATGAACAGATCCAATTTCACAAATATTGCCAATTTCACAATCCAATTTCACAAATATTGCCAATAAATATTTAAAGAGCACCTTCAATGCCCGAAACACTGCCAGGCTCTGGGAATACAGCTCTGGATGAATGACACCAGCCTCAAGGAGACTGCGGTCTAAGGGGAGGGGCAGAATTACAATAATGCATGAACAGCTCAAGAACAGGGGCTGTGAGAGCACACTGGAAGAGCTTCTAGCCCGAGCTGGGGTGGGCAGGGAAGGCTTCTTAAAGAAAGTGAGGTCTAAGCTGAGACTTGAAGGGCAGGTGAGTGATCCAGGTAAAGAGGGGCATGGCAAGGTGTTCCTGGCAGATACCTCTTTTCGAAAAAGGAGGATTTAGGGTTCTGCATGTAACTGACAATGTGGGTCGAAAAGATGGAGCATCTCTCAAGGGGCTCTTCTGAGAAAGAATTGAGCCCTTCTACTGCCCAGTATCAGACAAACACTTTTTCCGTTTAGCCATTGCCTGTGAGCCTCTGGAGAGTCCTGTCCACGGAAGCATGGATTGCTCCCTGTCTTCGAGAGCATTTCAGTACAACAGCAACTGTAGCTTTCATTGTGCTAAGGGTTTCACACTGAGAGGAGCTGACACAGTTCGATGTGCTGATTTGGGACAGTGGACAGCGCCAGCCCCAGTCTGTCAAGGTACTGTTGATAGCATAACGTTGCTTCCCTGCCTCTCAGCTTATTAAAGGCATCAGCATGTGCATTCAGTTCTGTCATTCATTTATTATTCAAACATTCACTAAGACTCTATTATGTGCCAGGCCCTTTGTGTCGCCACTCGGGATGAAGTGGTGAGTGAGGGCACTCTTAGGCATGTGTTCGTTACAGTATCCTGAAACGCAAGGCGAGGGCTGCATGGACTGACATGGATGTCGTGAGTTGGCATGAAGGAGTGGGTGCTGGGAGGAAAGAATTATGCATGAGGAACAGCATGGAACAGTGGAAGGGTAATGACAAGACATTTAGTCCAGTTCTGTCATTTCCTGGCAACAAGCTTTTGGTCTCTCTAAAACTCAGTGTCACCTACAAAATAAGAGTACTATTATCTCCCTTACTTGCCTCACTAGTGGTTGTGGATTAATGTGTGTAAATGCAAGCTTAAAAATGCTACGAGGGACTTCCCTTGTGGCACAGTGGTTAAGAGTCCATCTGCCAATGCAGGGGACACAGGTTCCATTTCTGGTCCGGGAAGATCCCACATGCCACAGAGTAACTAAGTCTGTGAGCCACAACTACTGAGCCTGCGCTCTAGAGCCCGCAAGCCACAACTACCAAGCCCATGCACGACAACTACTGAAGCCTGGGCGCCTAGAGCCCATGCTCCACAACGAAGAGTAGCCCCCGCTCGTTGCAACTAAAGAAAGCCTGGGCACAGCAACGAAGACCCAACACAGCCAAAAATAAATTAAATAAAATAAATAAATTTATTTAAAAAACTGCTATGAGCTTTACAAATGTAGGTAAAATAATGATCATAACATTACCTTGTAAATCATATTTCTCTGATCTGATTTTACAAAGTGATCTCCTTTAAATAGTTCATGTTCTCAATATTTTGCTCTTGAAGAACTGAGGCATAGGGAAGTCATGAAGATTATTTTTTTTTACAAGAGGTACCCCACACAGAATTTATGTCCCAGGAATGAAAATATTGGCATTTCATGTGAGATCCCAAGCAATTTATGTGAACCCTGGGTCTAAGTGTACCTGATTTTAAAATGAGGCAGTGGTCTGAATGTAGTGTCTCGAAGAGAGATGTATACACCCATGTTCGTAGCAGCATTATTCATAACAGTTAAAATGTGGAAGCAACCCAAGTGTCCATCATAGATGAATGGATAAGAAAAATGTGGTATATACATACATACAATGGAATATTATTCAGCCTTAAAAAGGAAGGGAATTCTGACATATGCTACAACATGGATGAATCTCAAGGACATTATGCTGAGTGTAGTAAGCCAATCACAAAAAGACAAGTACTGAATGATTCCACATATAGGAGGCACTTAGAGTAGTCAGAATCACTGAGACAGAAAGTGGAATGGTTGTTGCTGGGGCCTAGAGGAGGAATAGGTAGTTGCTCTTAAATGTTCTGAAGATGGATGGTGGTGATAGTTGCACAAAAATATGAATGTACTTAATCCCACTGGAATGTACACTTAGAAATGGTTAAGTGGTAAAAGATAAGTTTTATGCTATGTGTATTTTACTACAGTTAAAAGATTGAAAAAAAAAAGTGAGGCAGTAGAGGAATAGATCATCATACAACGTGATGGTGAGGCTTAGCTATAGGGGAATGGGGTGTACTGGGAAGGTATTGTCTGAGAGACAAAGACACAGAGAGCCCTTTGACATGCTTAAAGGGAGAGGGTCTTTAGGGGTCACTGGAGACATTCTTGTCTCCAGTCAGGTAAATGTCTAATCATCCAAAAGAGAGAATTGACTATTCTCTTAAGCACCTAGATATGTGGTTTCAATAACTCCCCTGGTAGAGGCCTTCTTAGCATTTTCCACTCTGACATTCAAGGTCTGCATCTGATGCATAGCTATAATGATTTTAAGACTATTTACTGCTACTACTGCTGCTGCTGCTACTACTATTAGTAATAATAATAATAGATAATATTTATTGAGCATTTTAGTCCAACTCCATGAGGTAGTTAAAACTATTGCTCCCCTTTTAAAGATGAGAAAAGACTTGATATATATAGAATACATGTGTTCTCTCTATTTATGGCCATCTGCATTATATGATTGAGATCATGGTGTGTATATAATTTTTATCCTGCTTTTTCACTTGACATTGTGCATTGAGACACCTCCCATATCTTTCCAAGGTGAAATATATCATATTCCTTTCATGGATCCACGATAGTTAATTTTCGGCCTCTAATTAGTAGCATTTATGTTCATTTTCAATATTTTGCTCTCACAAATAATATCATGATAAAAATTCTCTGAACTGATTTTTGATATGCATCTTGTTACATACTTAGCATAGATTCTTGGGTCCAAAAGTACGATATTTTTAAAACTATGAATACATATTGCCAAATGCTTAATGATGGCTCAACATTTCCTCATAAAGTCCTTCATTTGGCATTGGGATTATATGACACTTTTCTCGTCCTCCAGGTTAAACATGCCCAATTCAGAAATCCCTCTTGTTGGCACTAGGAAGAGTTAAGGGGTGGAAATCAGTGAGTACTTGTTTATTACTTTCCTCACTCCCTTACTTTCTCACTTCCTCACTCCTTAGCGTTGCAGTGCCAGTACCTTCCAGCCTCAAACAAGGCCCAGGTGAACTGCTCCCATCCCTTTGGTGCCTTTATGTACCAGTCGACCTGCAGCTTCACCTGTGATGAGGGCTTTCTCCTGGTGGGAGCAAGTGTGCTGCAATGCTTGGATACGGGGAACTGGAATGCTCCTTTTCCAGAATGCCAAGGTAAAATGAATTCTTTCCAGTGTCTTGGAAATAAACTGTAGGCTTATTTTGAAAAGCTGTATTTTAAAGGTGGTAACTGTCTAGGGGACAGAAACTTGAAATGGACTGGAAAATGAATAACACTGTCATCACATAACACAGGGATTCAAAATGCAAATGCCTTCAGGGGCTAGGCAGGTACCACAAGCGACAGGATGTCTGGCAACAGGAAGGTGGCAGGGGGGTGTGGTGGCGGCCTGGTGCCAGCTCTGTCCTGGGGCCTTTCCCAGGACATGAAGGCTCCTATCATGAACCAGGTGGACTGTTCTCACTTGGCTGAAGATAGTATCTGGAAAGAAGGCCAGAGGGAAGAACTAGCCTCAGGATGGTTGTTCCAAGACTGATCTGGCACTTTGTTCCTAGGAACCACGGAGTACAATGGTGGAATGGGGGGTAACTCCCGGGTTTAATAGTGGAATGGGAGGGGCAGAATTTACAGGTGCCTGACTGCAAACATCCTCCAAGATCTGTGTTAAGACTGGAGAAATCCACTTAGAGTAAAGTGAAGACTGATGAAAAGAGGAAGAGACTAATCTGTACATGCAAGGTCAACAGGATTCTCAGAAGAAAAAAAGTATATATATATTCAGCATAAGCATATTTGTCTGCATTACACTTGATATAAACTAAAGGCAGTTATTGTATGGACTAGAACTGGTTTTAATCATCTGTGTTTAGGAACTGAAGGACAGATGTATGCTTTTTATACTCCCCATTCCTTTTTCTACTCAGTGTATCCAATTATTTACTTACATTTATGGCAAATACTGCTTTTAAAAAATAAAATTTTTATTTATAAAAGCTACAGAAAAATAAGGAAATAGAGAAACAAAAAAATCCTCTTAAATACCTCCCCCAAATACCCAACCCTAAACCAGACACTGGTTACGTTTCTCCCTTCTTGTATGAATTCTTCAAATATTTTCCCACTTTTTCCTCCATGTGATTAGTATTTTTATGATGCATATATATACAATTTTAATAATAAAATTAGGTAGGTAAAATACTAGCCAATTTTGCATTGTTTGCCTTTGCTTTTCACTTCGTACCCACTTCCAACATGAGTGAAAGCAGGCAGAAACATGTTTTTAATAAAGAGGAAACCACTTGCTATTCAGGTCACACACAAGCACACACAGATACACACTACTGTTAAGTTAGGTCAACAGTGAGTGAATGAATGAACGAACAAACGAAAGAACAAAGGGGCTGACCAACTCAATAGAACTGCATGTCCTTTAGCCCCAGGCACAAGAGAGCATGGCAAGCCGCAGGGGCTAGGGATGGGCACGCCTCCTGAGCTGGGTCTGCAGAGACCAAGGTGAGGCTTGTGACCTTTGCTCTTCAGCTGTCACCTGGGCTACACTGAAGGCTGAATATACTATAAAGTCCACACAGCTTTGGGGAAGAACTTGGAGTCCCTGAGGAGGGTGTTACAATGCTTAGCACCCTTCCGAACAACCCTGGGCTGTTCAGGGCACAGATTGCAGTTCATTGCCCCACACTGGCCCACCTGTGGGTGTTTCACAGCAAGGAGGCTCACACTCACCATGGCTTCCTGTGCCCTTCCACTTCCCTTCCGCTTTTAGTTCTTTGTTTACTCTGACTGAACTTTCTCCTCTTGTTGCCGGGCAAGCATCAAGTGAAATACCCAAATGTGGTCTGTGCAGAAAGGTACCACGAGGCTTGCACTCACAAGCTGTTGTAATGCTCTTGAGAGGGTGTTCTCAATTTCCCTTTCCAAGGTCCCCCTTGCCCCACCCGAGCTATCAGAAGGCAAGGCCACAAAAGAGCTGCAAACAGACTCATGGTACCAACACCCTCCCAATTTGTCCTTACAGTTTATAGGCTGCTTGACTTGCCTGCTCCCCCTTACCCACCACTCCCACACTGAATACAGAAAGACTTTTCAAGCGGCAGAAAATAACTAGGTCTTTCGACCAAGGGATGAGATTGGGGGGTTGGGGGTGAAATGTAGCTGGAAAGGAGAAGGGAGGAAGGGAAGAGAGAGAAAGAGAAATAGAAAATGCTCTCAAGACCTCAGGCAGTTCAAATCAGTGGAAATGGCCCTAGGTTCATCCACACCACCACTGTCTCTGGTCTAAAACCATACACTACCCAATCAGGCCAAACAGTGAAGAAGAAACACCCTAAGCCATGCGTTCTCTTAGCCTTCATTTTTAAATGCCAATATGTTTAATCTGAGTTTTATTTCACTAATTGGCTGAGGGATATCTTGGCAGCCATTAACATTTGCATACAGAGTGTTTTCACTTTTTAGCCTTGTAAAAATCCTGGGAGCTATTTAATGCTATTCTCCACATTTGAAAGGTGAACATATTGAGGTTCAGAGAGGTTAAGTGACTTGCCAAAAGTCACAGAGCATGATCTCCAACCAAATCAAGTCCTCTAGCACCACAAACTCCACATGGATAAGCTGTGGCAAAGAACCATGAGATCTTATTTACTGTTTTTTTGTAGGTGAACAAGTAGTGTCATCTGGGGCTGGTCACTGTAGGATGACACTGGTGGGAAGAGCATCTGCAGATGGCCAGTTACATTATGTGCCTACTTTGTGTCATGATTGTTAAAATATATTTTAATTTAATTTTTGCCTATGATTTAGTTAACTTATTATTTTGTATAACTGAGGATCCCTGCAAGGCAAGGATTGTTTTTTCTCCCATTTCATAGATGAAGCAACTGAGATTCAGAAAGCTTATTGTCCAGAGATACATTGCTAGTAAGTAACAGAGGCAGGCTTTGGACCCAGATTCTTACCACCACTTGGTTGGGGGAAGGAACTTCTGGAAGGGGAAAAAAAAAGTATTTTACTCCATTTCCCTATTTCCAATCACTTGTCATTGCTTTATGGCAAGGTGATCAGGTCTATCTCTGAGGAAGGTATCAAGGAAGCAGCCAGTCCTTCTCCTGTCCAGGGGCAACTAACATGAGGTGCATCACTAGCTTTCCCAACAAAGAACCAGCTCCCTTTTAAATCACCTCTAAAGCTCTTTGGCAGTGAGCATTTCAGGATACCAATCCACTGTCAACTGCTGCTATTTCACACGTACAAGACTTCTACCAGGTGACAAAGCACCATGAAATTCAAACAATCATTTCTAACCCCATGCTGCCCTGGTATGTTAAGGACACACACACACACACACACACACACACACACACACACCACACACACACACACCACACACACCACACACTGATTTAAGTTGCTCTGTTCTAAAACAACCTCCTCTCTCCTCCTCGGCCATGCCCACGGCAGCCGTTACCTGCGCATCTCTCCCAAACCCTCAGAATGGAACAAAGACCTGTGTCCAGCCTCTTGGAGATTCCAGTTATAAGACCACATGCCAGTTCACCTGTGATGAGGGATTCTCTTTATCTGGACCGGAAAGATTGGACTGTACTCCATCTGGACACTGGACAGATTCCCCACCAATGTGTGACGGTAGGACCATGGGTCTATCCTCTCTTACAGCTTCTCAAGTAACCGTATAGAATGAAGGATCATCAGCAATTCATGTAAACCTGTTCCTAAGCTAAAGGAAGTTTTCCCCACAAAGCATAACAATCTAGACCAAAAGCTTTTCTCTCTCTCTCTGAATATTCTTTTTTTATATATAAATTTATTTGCTGCATTGGGTTTTTATTGCTGCGCACGGGCATTCTTTAGCCATGGCAAATGAGGGCTACTCTTCGTTGCGGTGCGCGGGCTCTTCACTGCGGTGGCTTCTCTTGTTGCAAAGCGTGGGTTCTAGGTGCGTGGGCTTCAGTAGATGTGGCTCACAGGTTCAGTAGTTGTGGCTCGCGGGCTCTAGAGCTCAGGCAGTAGTTGTGGCGTACGGGCTTAGTTGCTCTGCGGCGTGTGGGATCTTCCCGGACCAGGGCTTGAACCCATGTCCCCGACATTGGCACGTGGATTCTTAACCACTGCGCCACCCGGGAAGTCTTCTCTGAATAGTCTTATAATAATAACTTTAAACACTTCATAGTTTTATAACGTGTTTTAGTGTCACTGTGACATTTGATGTTTATTACAATTCTAAAATAATGAGGACAGGCAGTATTGTCTCTGTTTTACAGATGAGAAAATAGAGGCTCAGAGATTATGTAACTTGTTGGAATTCACACTATTAGTAAGTGATGAAGTTCTGCTATGTTACTGGGACTTTTACTTCATTATAAAGAATTTTTCTACTACACTCTTACTCATTCATTCCCACATCCACCTTCGCTGAGCGCTACTAAGCCCCAGACACTGAGCTTACTCAGGGATGGATGTGATTTCATCCCAACCCCTCAAGGATCTCACAGTTTAACTATCTGTGTATGTTTCTCCTCTTGCTCAACTTCTATATGGATTATGAGCTCCTTGAGGGCAGCAACTGTGCCGCATTCACCTTTGTATTTCCTGCAGCAACTAGACAGAAAAAAAAAGTAGGTGTGTGACAAGTAACTGTTGAATTGAAGCTTATCATTTACTGGTTAAATTTATTCAAGCTCAAGCCCTATTGACAATGAATTAGTAGATCCTCAAAGGCAAGGGTCTTTGATTCCCCCGAAACATCTGACTGACACCTACCTAGTATATAGTGTGCTCTAAAATAGACGTTTATGAATTGACTAATTTATAGCTCATGTTTACTTTCAAAAGTTGCCATTGTTCTATTGTTCTGTGTACTATACCAGCAGTAATAGCTAATTTTTATTGCTTGTGTAAATAAGTACCAGCTATTTCATGTGCATTTTTGCATTCAATCCACACAACTATCCTTAACATGGTTGTCACTCTCCCCGTTTTAAGGATGAGGAAATGGAAGATAAATAGCTGGCGAAGATCTAATAGATAGGAAGTAAGGAGCTAGGATTCAAACCCAGGTCTATCCTGATTACAGGGCCAGAGCTTTTACCACAACACTACACTACACTGCCACACAGTGGCAGGTTCCTAAATCCCGGGTCAGTCACTTGTAAATTTATTCCTTTCCACTGCTCTTGTCTAGTTGCCGAAATGAGTGATCCAATGAGAGAATGAGAGGGATCAAATGAGAAAATATGTTGATAGAAATCTATTAGTGAAAAGAGTTAAGTACTTATTCCTTCTCGTGGAGTGAGCACTAGATTAATATCCAAAGAAGACCTGTATTGCCCTTCCATGGAGTCATGGACCATGTAAATCACGTCACACCCTTGATTTTCTCGATCCCAAAAGGAGAGGAGTGGACAAGATCGACTCTGAGGTCTCCGTGTGTAACACATATAAATGGAATCTAAAAAAAAAAAATGGTTCTAATGAACCTAGGGACAGGACAGGAATAAAGCCGCAGACGTACAGAATGGACTTGCGGACACGGCGGGGAGGGGAAGCTGTGATGAGGTGAGAGAGTGGCATGGACATATATGTAAAATCGATAGCTAGTGGGAAGCAGCCGCATAGCACAGGGAGATCAGCTCGGTGCTTTGTGTCCACCTAGAGGGGTGGGATAGGGAGGGTGGGAGGGAGGGAGACGCAAGAGGGAAGAGATATGGGAACATATGTATATATATAACTGATTCACTTTGTTATACAGCAGAAACTAACACACCATTTTAAAGCAATTATACTCCAATAACGATGTAAAAAAAAAAAACCCCAACAACTCTGAGGTCTCTTCCCTGGACACAAATTCTGTAGACTAAAGGACATAAAATGCTATCACCCGCTGTTAAAAAGATATACTACAAGCCACCGGAGGAATCTAGAACATTTATGGCTGATATCATTAGGGCTTCGTCACTTATTTCTCAATCACTCGTTTGTTTATTCCATGGGCATCTATCATAAACTCTGTTTTTCCACATTCTGTTTTAAAGCTAAATAATAAAAAATCCCTAAGAAATATCTCACTAAAGTTTAAATCATATATGCAATCAACATGGTTGTTAAATCTGTAATCTCTGAAGCCCCCATTTCCCCTCACTCCTTTCCACCTCCTTTTCTCCACACGAGGTGGCGTTTGCCCACCACCCTTCAGGCCTAGCCCTGCCCAGTGTCTAGAACCAAACTTGACCAGGGGCAGCAGCTTTAGTCAACTATGGGCTTTGGAATTGTCAACCCTGTGCGCACCTGATCATTAGCTCTGGCTTTTGTACCTGTGTTTCTACCTCATTCTCTAAATTTATTCTCTAGATTTAGGCAGATAGTTCCTCTTCCTTTCCCATATGCCTGAGTCCATGAATTTTTAACCCTTCAGCACCGAACCTTGATTTTTCACATGGTGTTTTTCAGAGTCCTGGGCTATATCAAAGGGGCTTGAGGGCCACCAAATAAGGAGGGGTGGTGTGGCAAGTGCAATGCTGAGTCTCCTGCTTCACAGCACAATGTGAGGTTCCATTTTTTGAGTAGGTCCACAGATATTTCCCTTTTAGTTAGAACGCCAGTTTCCTGGTCTCTCCAGGACCTGAACTCTGCCTGTATTTTCCAGTCTCCTCCCAGCCTTTGCCCCCCACCCCCAAGGACCTGAATTCCTTTCCCTGAACCTAAGCAGTGCTGAATTGCTTATATCCGGTTTCTGTGTCCCCCATGTCACCACCTGTTGAGCCACTATCCTGACACAGATTACTGTTTTCCCAATCACTTTGTCATTGGCCCTCTGGAGACCATGTTTGGCTGCTGGACCCACCTGCTAATGACCAACCTCACTTTGATGGGGGAGGGATGGGTCCTGGTTTCAAATCCCAATCCTAGCTCTGCCCTTCTGCCACATCCTTGCTCATCCAAGTTCTAAAATAGAGCAAACTGGTGCCCTCTAAGCTCTGGCCTGGCTCGCTCACATCTGTTTTATTTCTCCACTCCCCCCAAAATTTCTCTGACTCCATGAAGAGTCCTAGCCTTTATTTTTAAAATTTGAGTTTAGAACAGCCAACTCAATTAAAATTTATTATTTATAATATATCTTCTTTCCAAAAAATTCTTGACAAAACTGTATCCAACTCAAGTCAAAAGAGATAATACAAAGAAACAGAGAATTAACTAAATATGTCATAAGATAATAATAGAGTGCCAGTGACCCCAATAATTCATGAAGTCACAGGCAGTCATGTACAGGTACTTCATGGGGTGCAGAAAAATATCAATGAAGACCTTTCCAGTAGGCAGCACTGCCTTGAAGTCCACAAATATAGAGCATTAAGTATGGCGATAAAAGCAACCCTTATCCATCTTTTATTCTTCTTGTAATGACTCAGGTTTTGGTGCCCCCGACCACTGCGCCACCAGGGAAGCCCTAAATTCTGACTTTTGAGTTAATCTTGTTACATGGTGTGAGGCAAGGGTCAGGACCCATGTTTGCCAAATGATATCCTGTTGTTCAGTATCTTTTGCTGTAAAGACTATATATTGTCTTCCCCATTGAAATACCTTGACACTTTTTTTTTTTTTTTAAATAATACACAATGTATTTATTTATTTATTTATGGCTGTGTTGGGTCTTCATTTCTGTGCATGGGCTTTCTCTAGTTGTGGCAAGTGGGGGTCACTCTTCATCGCGGTGCGCAGGCCTCTCACTATCGCGGCCTCTGTTGTTGCGGAGCACAGGCTCCAGACGCGCAGGCTCAGTAATTGTGGCTCACGGGCCCAGTTGCTCCATGGCATGTGGGATTTTCCCAGACCAGGGCTCGAACCTGTGTTGTCTGCATTGGCAGGCAGATTCTCAACCACTGCGCCACCAGGGAAGCCCAAGAATATGACTACTTTTTAAAGTTACCCACAGAGGACATTCCTTAGTAAAAATCTCTCCCTCTACATCCGCACTAGGCCTCTTCACTCCGACAACTTCCTTGACAGCTCCACAAATTTAATTCAGCCCATGTTTGCTGAGCGCCCACCACTTGCCCGTTCTGGGTTAGGCTTCCATGAACCTCCCCAAAGCTGCCCCTCAGACAGGAAAACATGCTTCCTTACACAAGTTAGTCCTTAGATTCAACAAGTTTCATGTTTACAGAAGAAGGATTAGAGACGTTCCTAGCTACAAAAGGCTATATATCTATAACCTTGTCAGAAAAAGACTGACAAGACTGAGACCAAAGCAATATCCTCCAAGTAGATTTAATGCTGTAGTAATTCTCTTTGTATACTAGGGGTCACTTAAATCAATTTTTTAAAAATAGTAACTCCTCTTGTTCCTTTTCACACCATGTAAAAATACTTGTTAGAATGTGTCCAAATTAAATTGTGCTAACTTATTCATTCATTTGACAAATATTTTTGGGCCCCCTACTTTGTGCCAGGCACTCTTGCCTGGGATACAGTGTTGAAAAGAGCTGACAAGGTCCCTACTCTCATGCAATTGACTTTATGTATTTTCTTGGGTTTAAATATGAAATTCTTGGAGATATTGAAAAAGTTATTTTAGTGAAAATGTTCATAAATGATTTAATGTCTATGACTTACACCAATAGATATGTTTAATAAATGTTTGATAAATGGAATTGATCTGCCAGGCATGGATTTATTAATTACTCAAAAATTTGAGAGTTCTAAACTGAAATTCAGTATGTTTCTTTGGCTGTTTGAATGCGTTCACACAGTAAGGATCCACAATCCTTCAGTGAATAGCCTGCCACCAAAAAGCACGTGGGCCAATACGTAAAAGCCAATACATCACTTTTCCATGAGGCATTACATAGGACTTCAAGAGATTTTTTTTTAAAAAGCAAAATAGCTAAGCAAAATGAGCCTTATCTGACCAAAGCATTGCTTTCAGATCGTCTTGGATTTAAAGAAAGAATCGCCCCTCAGTTTGTCAATAATCCAATATTTGTTGATAAATAACAGTCTTATGTCAGAGACCTTCGCGGGGAGAAAGACATGATCCTAAGAGAAATAGGTAACTGCAATAACTTATCAAAACAGTTTTTGAGGGAAATAGTAAATTTAAAAATTCATTTGCTCATCCACTTGGCATATGGTGGTTGAGCACCACCTCTTGAGCTCCTGCAGTGTGAATTGTGGGAAGACACAAAGATTTATGGTTCTTGGGTTTTAGGAGCTTTCTATCCAGGAGAAGAGGGAAGAGATGACATGTGATATGACAGCATATGAGTTCAAAGAAAAAACCTGATGCATTCAGAGGAGATGACTTCAGGATGCAGTGATCAGCAGAGGCTTAAGAGAGGCTGTGTTCATTTGGATCCCAGAGGATGGGTGGGATTTTATTCGGTAAAAATTGAAAGAAATTTAGGGCAGTGCGAGCCAAGAACCAGAGGCAAGAACACATGAGGTCAGTTCAGGGACTTCCCAGGAACTAATCTAGCTTCACCAGGAGGTTTTGAGCTTTCCTGTGCTATGAAACTGTGGTTAAAAAAAAAAACCTGGGGATCCAAATGGAAGAAACAGTAGTTTAGGACCCAAGTTGATCATTGCAGGTTTAGACGTGTTGAATTTGTGGAGACAGCAGGATATCTAACCGGAAGTAGTCTCAGGCAGGAGGAAGGACAGAAGTGAAAACCTGGACTGCATTTATACAGATAGGACAGTGAGAGCTGGGGGGGAGGCTCTGAGGTCTCTAAAGCAGCGGGCGTAGAGAGAAGAGGATGAAATCGTGAATTCTTGAGGATGACTGCCTAAATCCTTGACTTCTTCCTATACGCCTCTCTGCAAGCCCACCGTCCCTCCCCCTGCCCTTTGTACTTCATGATCTGCTGTGCTCATTGTGAAACGCCTGCTACCTAGCAAAACACCTGACACAGTGGGAGCTCAATAAGTAGTTAATATTTGTTGAAAATGTGAATGAATAAATTTGGTGCAAAACAGGGCTTCCAAATCAATTTGGAGATTGTGACATTCTTGATTTGATTCTCCAGCCATCAAGTGTCCAGAACTATCTGCCCCAGAGCAGGGAAGCCTGGATTGTCCTGACACTCATGGAGAATTCACTGCTGGCTCCACCTGCCATTTCTCCTGTAACGAGGGCTTTAAGCTGGAGGGGTCCAGCCATGTTGAATGCTCAGCTTCTGGAAGATGGACGGCACCCCGACCGACCTGTGACGGTAAAACAGGACACACTTGCCGGGACAGCTCTTCCTCTGGAAATTTCCTCAACAAAAATAACAAACACTTACATACACTCAGTACATGACAGGTACACATGATATCATTATTATTGTGAAAGCTCCACTTCTTGTCATGAAGTGGGTTATCTACTGGGGTCTAGAAAACACAGGCTGGATTTAATAATGTATAAGGAGTGACAGGACTTTTTCACATTTGAGAATAAAAGGTAACAACAATTCTTAAGCACAGATTTTCTTTCGTAATTGTGGCCTCTTTGTCTCAAAGAGCTTTGTTGAGTTGATTGAATGGTTTCCATTGCTTCATCGCCAGGAGAGAGCACTAGGGGTGTAGTCACCCGTCCAGTGTTTCAAATCAAGGAGCTGAAGTGGAGAGGGGTCAACTGCCATCTTTCTGCCACGTGGCAAGTTAGTGACAGACAGTGGCAATATCCATGCCTCACATTTCATGCTGACCTTTGGCCAGAAGACAATACCATCTCCCAATAAAGCAGCACTGATGGGCTTCCCTGGTGGTGCAGTGGTTGGGAGTCCGCCTGCTGATGCAGGGGACGCGGTTCGTGCCCCGGTCCAGGAGGATCCCGCATGCCGCGGAGCGGCTGGGCCCATGAGCCATAGCCGCTGGGCCTGCGCGTCCGGAGCCTGTGCTCCGCAACGGGAGAGGCCCCAACAGTGCGAGGCCGGTGTACCGCAAAAAAAAAAAAAAAGCAGCACTGAGCAAGCAATTGGCCTATACATATTTCTCTTTCTACTGAATTCTTATATTTCTGCACCAATTATTCTGGCTTTGTTTTGTTTTGTTTTTAGTATCAGTAACATTGACGACCCCCTCCCCCCCCACCTCCAATTTCTTCTTCTGGCCAGGAGAATCATCTCTCCAAGGACAATTTTAGATCATTTTTCTCATCTGGTTTTCCATACCTGATTTTAATAGTTTTCCTTAACTTCCTTAAGGAGCTATTGCTAGAACCTCCCTGATTATGAAAGGAGTGGAAGGCAGTTATTCCATGTCAGTCTTTTTTTTTTTCTTCTTTTTTTGCGGTACGCGGGCCTCTCACTGTTGTGACCTCTCCCGTTGCGGAGCACAGGCTCCGGACGCGCAGGCTCAGTGGCTTCGGCTCACGGGCCCAGCCGCTCCGTGGCATGTGGGATCTTCCTGGACCGGGGCACGAACCCGTGTCCCCTGCATCGGCAGGCGGACTCTCAACCACTGCACCACCAGGGAAGCCCCCCATGTCAGTCTTAACTCTGTTGTGCTCCTTCTAATTGGGAGTTCTCTAAATTGAAACATTTTCTCACAACAGACATAGTATCAGCTCCTACTGTAGAGGTGCAATGCACATCCCTCGTCACTCCAAAACAAGGAACAATGTCCTGTCAGCATCATCTGGGAACCTTTGGTTTGAATACCACTTGCCACTTTGGATGCAAAGTTGGATTCACACTCATGGGAGATAGTGCTCTCCGATGCAGACCTTCTGGACAATGGACAGCAGTAGCTCCAGTATGCAGAGGTAATGTGAAAAGGAACAGGCAGTTCTGATGCTATCTGCCAGCAAGCTAGTCACTGTACATGCCTGTCGAAATCCCATCCAAGCCCCATGACCACTTCAAGTGTCAGCTCCTCCATGAAATCCACACCAATCCCAATTTGAAGCAATGTGCAACAGGCATACCAACTTTTCCCCTTCCTTATGTCACAAGGTAATGCCCTGCTACTCAAAGACCTAAAGGAGGAAATATTTGAATTGCCACTATGTGCCCATCCTAGTCCTTTGGCTATCATTCTTTGAGTGGATATCTTAGTATATGTGATGTTGGAAGGGCTAGTGGGAATGTCAAAAGTAGCTCATTTCCTTTCTGATCTTTTGTAAGATCATCTTACAAGCCTCATCTAATGGCAACGCTAGCCAGGTTTCAAATGAATCCATAATCTCTTTTATGTTCATTCTATATGTTTGTTTTTCCTGCATTCTTTTTTTCTGCAGCTGTCAAATGCTCCAAGCTACATGTTACTGAGCCAATAGTGATGAACTGCTCCAACCCTCGGGGAAATTTCAGCTATGGATCAACCTGCAGCTTCCATTGCCCAGAGGGTCGTTTACTTAGTGGCTCAGCGAGAACAGTGTGCCAAGAGAATGGCCAGTGGTCAGCTATCATGCCAGCGTGCCAAGGTTTATTTCTCATATGGGTTAGGAAGTCGCTTAGATATGGAAAATAATGAAATCAGGTCTCTCCTCTGAATATTTCTGACAGTGATTGCTTTCCATCACTGGGTTTCCCTTGCATTTAATAATTGTTTCACAATGAATCAGACAGCATCTCTGTACCTCATGCAGAGCAGTGGGAATCAAATTCAGTGACTCTGTGTAAACGATCACCACTCCTTTTCCAAAGCTCCAGTTTGTGAAGTGAATACTCTCATTTCTTTATAATCTGTGTGTAGTACATCTTGAAGTTTCAAAATGTTTTAAACTGAAGGTTATTTAATGCAGAATCCTAATTTATTATCTCAGAAGATCTTTGTTTAACATATACCTCCAAAAATACAATATATCTTCCTTAATTAAGCTCCATCTCTTTGTAAGGTTTCTTTCATCTCCCTCCCTTTTTTTCATTTCTTTTCTCTAGCAGCTTGTTGTAACTACTTTTCATCACATAAAAATCTTCAATTGCCCCCCCCACCAATTACCCGCAGTTTACTTTGTTTATCCAAACTTCCATTTATTGTGTCTACCATTTAATCATCTAATTCCTTTTATCGAGTCCTTACCCTGACTCCTTTGGAAATTATGTTTGATATTTAAGCATTAGGAAGAAAATCAGGCCCTACGTGCATCCCATTCTGTTGCAGTGGTTTATGACTTCCAGATGTTTTTGTGCCGGGTTGTTAGCACTGCCAGGACCTTTGATGACTTACTTGATCTCACATCTTAGAGTTCTTGGGGACCTCCTGGGGGAATGATGGTCTTCTGCACAATACTCTTCTTATGCTTGCATGCGTGAATGTGTTTATTTTGCAGCGGGGCCATTGACTATCCAGGAAGCCTTGACTTATTTTGGTGGAGCAGTGGCTTCTACAACAGGTTTAGTGACGGGTGGGCTCCTCCTGGCTCTGCTAAGAAAGCGTTGCAGACAAAAAGGTAAATAGGAAAGAATATTCTCCTTATTTTCTTCTTTCATGTGATTTGGGACAGGGCAGTGAAACGACAACTTCAGTAGTTCATGTCTGAAAACATTTGCATTAAAAGAAAACAAGGGGCTTCCCTGGTGACACAGTGGTTAAGAATCCGCCTGCCAGTGCAGGGGACACAGGTTTGAGTACTGGTCCGGGAAGATCCCCATGCCGTGGAGCAACTAAGCCTATGTGCCACAACTACTGAGCATGAGCTCTAGAGCCCGCACGCCACACTACTGAACCCATATGCCACAACTACTGAAGCCCGCGTGCCTAGAGCCTGTGCTCTGCAAGAAGAGAAGCCAATAATAAGCCAATCCTCTTCTAATAAGCTAATGGGTCTCTTCATCTTTCCTCATGGAAAGTAAGTGGGGGTATCAGAGGGGTCAGGGATGCTCAAATCCAGGAACAGAAAGTGGCTATGTTAAAAGTACCTGCCAGCATTCTCATGGAATTGAGATTTCCACACCTATTTTTTTTTAACATCTTTATTGGAGTATAACTGCTTTACAATGGTGTGTTTGTTTCTGCTTTATAACAAAGTGAATCAGTTATACATATACATATATCCCCATATCTCTTCCCTCTTGTGTCTCCCTCCCTCCCACCCTACCTATTTTTAACTGCTCAGAGGAAGACCCCCTTGTTTCCTATTCTCATGCTCTCTCCCTTCACAAAACCACCATTGCATTAGGCTGGTTTTCTAATGTTCCCTCATATACTCTTCTGTGAGTGAGTAAATAGGACAATAGACAAACAATAACACTACTTAAAGACCAAAAAGCTACAACCAGTCCCTCCATGAAACATCTGTGCTTGGTTAACCAAATTCGGAAGGCAGAGGTGAGAGCTCCTAAGACCTGAATCCTAATCTCCATTACCATGTAGGAATCACCCTATTCCTGCATTTTCCCCAAGTTCTTTCTTTAGTTTTGAGACATTTCCAGGGAACCCTCTGAACCGTGGAGAGGGACGAGCAGCCACCCATCCTCCAATATCTTTATAATAAATAAATTCATTTGTGGAGATGGGGAATTTTCCCTTGATCTGTCCCAATTTGATTTTAAACTTTCTAGGATTCTATGGTCAAATACTAGGAAAATGCTGCATACTGTGTCCCTCCCCTGCAAATTCAAAGTGCACATTCATTATTACACTGAAGGCTCAATCATGCCCTGTAATAAATATACTTGTTCATCTTCATGTCACTTAATATTTTCTAAAGGTATTTAGGCATGAGATATTTTTCCTTTTTTATCTACCCATGGAATGATTGACAGACCTGCTGCCATGTTTAAAGTTTCCACTATCAGAGTCCATTGTTTGGATTAAGACAGGAGGCCCCCAATCAAATATGTGATCAGGGGAGAAAAACATCCACTGTTATGTTGGTTCGGATTTGTTGACTCGCTTAGCTTGCCCAAATAATGACTGAGGGAGTGTGACAAAGGATGCAAAGATAGGATGTGCCTCCAGTGCCAAAGAAATGAGTTTCGAGAACCAATGGTCTCAACAACAACCAAGAGTAGCGAAGAAGATGAAGACAGGGACCAGAGGTAGGAGGAGGGGTTGTTACTGAAAGGGAAGAGGAGAAAGATGAGCGGACTCGGGAGTTACATATCATTGAACGTTCAATTTAGCCTAAAATAGGTCCCACCTCTCAGGGAGGGA